CACAAGGGCACAGTGCTGGCTCATGGTCATAGACATCAGTTTTATAAGTCTATAACCTTTTTAAAACAGAACAGGATCAACATCTGCTTTCTTCCAGCACTGAGATATCAAAGCAATTTTAAGCAATTCATCTACCACAGCTCCTTTAGAACACCTGAGTAAATACAAGAAACTCAGTAATGTTTGGTTTGTTAATTGCGTAATATTCTTTTTGGTCTTTACAGTTTGAGACAGAAACTCCAATGAGTTCTCCATAAAATAGGATTCTGGCTTGTAAACTTCCCCATTTCCTTCTGTAACGAACTCAGAAAAATTGTTCATTTAGCTTCTTTTTTATGGTTTTATTTTCTCTGAGTGGTCCTTTTGAACCCTGATCACTTATTGGCTCTGCAGACTGCCTGTTGGGCTTCTTACTCCCAGTATATTGAAGGAGTGAATTAGTAGTAGTATCATAACTTATTCTGTTAGCAGGAAGGTATTAGGATGTGCAATTGTTTGTTATTTCTAAATAGTAAGAGTCTGTTTTGGGTTTTTGGTTCCAGCGTGTAGGTAAATGTGATGCCAAAGCATTTCAAAATCTTCAGGAGGAGATCATAGATATTGCAATTCAATGCAAGCTTCCAGGTATGTCATAGACATATAAATTTTTAAAAGTTCTACCATTTTAAATGTTTTTTTTACAATTGTTAAAAAAAAGGCTATATAAAAATGCAAGACAAGAAGAAAGATAATAAGAAGAGAAAGTAATTCTTCTGGGACAAAAACCAGCACTGTCTCTTAATGAAATATTACAATGCGTATTTTTCACTTCCTACAAGTATTTCATATGCAGCTGAAAGTTACATTTTATCATTTGTAATCTGCTCTGTTTCTATGACATGGAGCTGGTTGCTGACTCTCATTTGGAGATTAAAAAATACAAACTCAAAGAGTATAACTGTCCTACAAAAATTAATTCCTTTTGCACCCCAATGACAAGAGAGTTGATATCATATTGTTTAAATAAGTAACTTCTAACTTTCCAAAGAGCTCCCGTGTATTCTTTTGAAAGGCAAAGGATCTGAGGACTTCAAGATTTTGTCCAAACTGGTAATTCGCCTATTGATACTATAATTGTTTATTTCATATTGCATAACTATAGTTACATTTTATATGTTAGAGGCTTTTTTCCTCCCAGTAAATAAATTTCTTAGTATTTATAAGTTCATTTCAGTCAAACTCCCAATTTGTTCTCTTAATGTTATTTTTTCCTCCAGCCATTTATTTGGACACAGATTATGACAGCTCCAGAGCTTTAAAACAGGGAGTACAGTACTACTCCATGTAGTAAGTGCCCCATTCTCACCCATTCAGGCTTGGTTTTCTTCAAGAAATGATAATTATATTCTTTAGCACACTCATTCACTGCCGATAACACGCACCTCTGACTCACATCTTTCTGTATGTGTGGATATTCCCTCTCTTTATTTGCTAGCTATGCCCAATTGGTACACACAATTCTTGTGTCTATGAGAAAACTGTTAGGTGTTCAATGTGAGACCAAGTGCTGTTGCAGTGCTCTCTTAGAAAGCCAAGATATAATGCTGATCATATAAAATACAAAGATATTTTGGGTTCATCTGATAGACCCAAATACGAAGCACTCCAGAAGACAGGGTTTTATAACTAATCCTTTATCTCAGTCTTTATGTACGATGAATCTTTTGTTCCTTGGATCTGAAATCTGTTGGTTTCTTTCATTTGAAGACACAGTAATTCCTTCCGCTCACACAGGTTGTCCAAAGACTGTCCCAAAAGACAGCCCAGAACTGAAGGAACTGCTGAAGGTTTCTATGGAGAAGTATAATTCGGAGAGCAATGATGATTTCTACTACAAAAGTGGAGAAATAGAAACTGCAACAGTTCAGGTTGGGATATACCACAGAGATAAGGAACAGACATGGCAGTGTTATTGATTTGAGCTGAATTTTGGCTAAAGTGTGTATTTAGATTTGAAATCATGTTTTTCTCTAAGTGTTGATACATGTGATAACTGAGATATCCATGCAATTTTTTTTGCAAAATTTTATCCACCTTGGCTTACATTCAGAAGTTAATAATGGAGTTAAAAAAATATTGCTCAGCATTTGCATTTGCCTTGTTTACTGTCCCAACATATTGAAACTGAGGTTTAGGACAGAATTTAAAACAAGACAGTGGAGTCTTTCAGAAAACACCTTGTAAACAACTTTTCCTGAGTATGAGGGGTACCACTGGAGAAAGCACTAAAAGCACATCAGACTTTTTCTGAATAGCTCATGTTATATTGCTAATAATACCTGTACTTTTTCTTCTTTTAAACCTTTTTTCTTCTTTCAAGCATTTTTATTCTTTCTCACTTTTCACATCATGATTGATATTAGCATGAGCACATTTTTAGAATAGACTTAAGAGAGACAGAATTTCATGTTTTCCCTGCTGTCTCTGAAGCAAGATATATTATCTTGGGCTCCGTAACAAACGCTAGGAGAACTCGTACCAGGCACATTATTGAACCCCTGCAGTTTCTCTCCTTAATGCATTTGGCAAATATGTTCATTTTCAACTGAGCCTGTTCATCACACACCTCATTTTACTCACATTCCACTTTTCTTACATCATAATTGGCTCTCTACAGAGGTGTTGCTAATGGTTGCATTTGTTACTAATGAAATTACTACAGGCATCAAATAAAACAAAGCCAAAACTGTGGGCCTGATATTATTCTGACCTTTTTGCTTCCTTCAATTTCAATGCTGGAATTTTTGAAAATGGGAACTGGAGTAAATAAGTAAGCTGATTAGAAGCAGGTAGGTTTGCTGCCAAATATTTTAACGTTATTCTTAACACATATTGTCCAGTGGTCAGGACTTGCAGAATATAAGCAGTATAAGCTTGAAGAAAAACATCTTCCTGTGAGCTCTTTTCAATAAGATGCCTTTACTACAATCAACAACATTTCAATAAAATGCCTTCTTGCCAATTTTTCAGGTGGTTGCTGGACAAAACTACCGTTTAACATTTGCAGTTCAGAAGACAAACTGCTCAAAGAAAGAGTTTGAAAAACTCAGTGAAGACTGCGAAGCCATACCAGACAGTGTAAGTAACGATGCTGCTGCCAACTGTAATGTTCTTAATGAAAAAATTAATTTGCACGAGAAATTGTAGACACTTCAGTAAAAGTGTAACTTCTGTTCCCTCTTTCAGTAAACTTTTTTTTCAGCAAGAAGGACACTTTTCACTGTTTGTAACCCAAGTCAGTGACAATGGCAGTAAAACGCAAAGCTTAAACTGAGTTACTCCCACTGCAGGAGCAGCACTCACTGCAAAGAGAAAGGAACTTTCTTCTGATAAAAATGAATCAAAGAAAGGGGAGGAGGCAGCTGCGAAATGAAACAGCTGCAATACTCCTGACTGTGGACTTGCAGCTATGGAAAACATGAGACTGGAGAGTTACTGGAGTGCAAATGAAGGATATTTTTTGAGTGTGTGTTGCTGATACTGGGAAAATGTGTTCCAGACACTGGAAAGTAATGCTGATAGGGCCAGAAACCATTGGCAAGGAAGCTGGTTGGGAGAGAGTCTTTATTTCCCTTCTCTTTTCCCATTATATGAACAGTGCTCACCTGTGAGATTTTAAAATCTCTTAATGCAGCAGGCAGTTAACAGAAAAAAAAAGCGCCTTTCTATCTCAGTTTCCCATTTTTTAGTAGGAGAAATACATTCAACAACAATATTTGTTAGGAATATAATTAAGATTAAATAATTCTCTAAAAGTGCTGGAGATGAAAAATCCAATTTTTCAAGATTCAATCTCCAATCAGAAGTCGAATTAAAGTGTTCACGCAGCCATACAATAACATCAAAAAACTATGAAGTCTCCATCACCAAGATGGATTTCATAGATATTTGGGTTAAGTTTCAAGAGTATTTGTATTTAAAAGTATTATTGAAAATCATGCATTTTTCATGCACAACTCTCTTCCTTTGTCTCTGATGTTTTGTTCCTTAATGTGTTGATTTTTGCTTTGTCAACAGCTACCATTGTCATGTGAAGCACAAATTCACGTGATCCCATGGGAGAATAAAATCTTCCCCCAGATTAACTGCTCTAGAGAACGGTTAATGGTATGTTTCCCTGTCATTACCCACCATCATAAGTAGAGAGTAGAACAAAGACAGTCATTACATTCCCTATCCATTCCAATTTTTGTACCAAATTCATATTCTCTGCCAAAAATAAAGGAACAGACAGTTCTTTTAACAACCCCAGTAATGCCACACTTGTCCCCTCTCACCCTTTACCCTCAGCAACTTCTTACATCAAAGGTAGTTTCACCACCCACTGGGACAGCGAACACCAGGTAATTACAGAGAACATCCTGCCTGGTGACTACTCCTTTGCATTATCAATTATCAGTTAAGCTCTGAAGTATCGAGCCACATCAGCTCCTTTGAATTACTATTCATACTAGGTTTAAGATTTGAGACAAAAATGTATTTTGCAATGCAAAAATTATACCCCACAGGTTTCAAAAGCATCTGTGAATCTTTTCAAGTTTGGTGAAGCAGCAGATCTCCTGCCACGAGTTGTCAATCTCTTCAGGAAGATATTTCCTTGCTGCTCAGCTCCATTATTATCTGGCCCTGAACATGGGTCAGTTGGAATAGAAATCTTTTTTATTATCAGAACTTTTTTAGTTCTGTTGATGGCAAGTTTTTTAATAAATGCAGAGACTCCTATGCTCCCCAATGAAAAAGAGAAGATACACTGAATAATGTGAGATTGATTAACCTGCATTCATAATCAATAACTTCACTGTGCTCTGCACCCTCATAACTACCCAATTAATTATGTATCAACTAGTAAATGTCTCTCCTCTTTGTTTTAATTACAGTATTGTATCCACATCAACTTTCAAATTTAGCTCCATCCCAGACAACTCTGATTTGCAGCTAAATAATGATCAAACACTTTGGTGGAGAGAAATGTATCCCATGTCAGATAGTGACCGTACACCATGCATTCAGTTTTCATCTTCCAGTTGAACAGAGATGGGGAAATAGAGATTACTCTACAAAAACTGAATGTTTCATATTATCAGCTTTAGCCCATACGTGTTATTTCTAAGCAGTCTTATGAAATGTGTACATCAAATCTAGAAACAAAAAACTGAATAGATAGATTTCATATAACAAAACAACTCAGCTCTTTTGTATATTCTGGTACTGAGGCTACTCAGAGCTGGGTTAGCCTTTAGCATAAACTAGTTGTATACATTGCAGTGTTATACTCCAACAAGTGAAGGACATTTAGTCCTAGAAATCAACAGTATTGTTCATAAATTAAAAGCAGTGTACATGTTTTCCTCTCTATAGTACCATTCCCGTGTTAAAGTGGCAGAATTTCAGTGATACACAAGTTATTCTCCTAATGTGTAACTGTTAAAATACTCTGGAGTTATTTGGGAGAATGTTTTTGTTTCCATGCTTATCACAGATAGAAAAGATTATTATTTAGTTTACTTTAAAAATCCGATCATCTATTTTTGCTAAATGACTCATGTACTGCAATGAGCAAACTTCTGAATTTCCTAAATCTGAAGCTATTTTTCTTGTTCACGTAATAAATATAGCTATTATTGCAATGTTTTTTAGACTGTACTACTAAGAAGGCCTCCTGGATTCACACCATTCCGAAGTTTTGCTGTGTTAGACCAGCAAAGTGAAATTTCATGCTCTGACGAAAATGCAGAAGAAGGGCAAAGACCTGTCAAAGAAATGAGAAAAGATGGTGAACAGGAACCTGCAGGTGAAGGTGAACCTGAGCATAAACATGGGCATAAACACAGGCGTGGACACAAAAATGATCATGAGTCTGATAAAAAACATAGGCATGAAATTGGTTGTGGGCACAGAACTGGCCATAGGTGTGGGCATAAAAAACATGGTAAAAATGGTAAACATAAGCATCCAACCCCCAAATCTTCTGAGGAGTCCAATGAAAGGGGTTTTAATCAAAACGAAACCCTCCCATCATCCAGTGCTGAAACAGCATCAGAGCTAGTTAATGCAGGGGATGCCAGAAAGGAAAGCAGTACACCGGCAGAACCACTAATCCTTCCTGACACTTCTTTATTTAATGGGTTGCCAGATCGCCCAGAATCACCTCTCCCCAGATGTCCTGGAAAACCATGGAAACAAATTGTGGACCTTCCAGCTCCTCCTAGCTTTCCTGGAGAATTCACAAATGAGGACCTCTTGCCTTCCACAGTAGAAAACATCAATCCAACAGCAGAAAACTCAACACCTCCCCAGAATGAAGAGAAAGACCTTGATCTCTCAGATGCTTTACTATAATTCAGATTATTTAGGATTCTTTTCAGAAATTATACATAGAAAAATAAGAAAAATACTGCCTTCTGAAATGTATAAAATGAAAAGAGGCAAAAGCTCCTATTATGTTAGCTAAGACTTCTGGGGACCTAAAACAATAAAGCAATGCTCTTGTATTTGCATATACTTGCAAAGATGTAAATCAGGCAACGGCCCAAATGATTCAGAACCAGTCTAGTAAAGGAACTATGCAAGTCAATAGCCTTCTGCTGCAGAAGTTAAAATTGTATCATCTCATCTGCCTCACGTTGCTATAAGCACGAAGTGAATCACTACATAAGATCTCACTGTATTATGTTTAAAACAATGGCACAAAGAATTTCTCAGATTACATGAAGAGTCTCAACCAAATGTGGACAAAAGCAATCCAATATAGAGCGAGGATGCTTCTCTTAGATATGTGAATCAATATTTCTCTAATTTACTGGAGTGAATCTTTTAAAGAACCAAATAAAATAATCTGTTTTCCCTGTTGATTTCTTTAAACAAATGGATATTACCACCAGTCTATCACTAGCAGGTTGTTCTGTTGAATGAGGTAACAGGGACAGGTCAGAGAGTCTTAAATAAAGCAGCTTTATTACTGCCTATGGATATTATGTTAACTACACAGTAGAGGCACTGTGATTGACAGATTTTCATGTGGCAGAGGTGCACAGATATTACAAATCAGATGACAAAATGGCAAACACAAAATTCGTCTGCCTTCTTCCATTATTAGGTTGTATATGACTTAGAGACTGGACTGAATTTTCTATTCTGAGTATCTACAAAATGTTGACGTTTTGATGGCATATATTAGATAAAAAGCACCAGATCTTTCTAGCAAACTAAAATATATTTTCTTGTTGTATGGATGCAATAACTCATTGAGCTGAACAAACACGCAGCAATAAATAAATACTTTAATGCCAAATCAGTTCACCAGTTTGAACCAGTACTCAAGTCCTGTAAAAAGTTACTGAAAGGGTAAGGTGCTCCAAATGGTAACACTTCACCGATTTTATTGTAAAAGACCACACTGCTTGAAACCACAGTGTAAGTATCCTCTAATATAGCTGCAGAGACAGAAAGAATATTCTCTGAAACTGTTCATCTCAACTGCTGGGATTGCTGCGGCACCAAGACTCAACAGCTGTGAACGTGTCTTTCCTTTGTGTACTGTGCTGAGGGAGAACTAGATAGATTAATACTACTTAGGGAATGTAAACCGGATGGATCAACGGGATTGGGAGGTCTTGGCACAAAAGGTCCAGGAGGATCTTGAAAGAGAAGATAGCTATAAGGCACGGTCAGAAGACTCAGAAGTGGAAAGGACAGAGGCAGAGTGGAACAATATGGACAGGGTGAAAAGAACTAAAGAAAACAGCAACTTAGTGGTAAAAATGGAAAGAGAGTGAACAGGATGGAGAAGTGATGTGGTGGAGGCAGCAGGCTCAAGGAGCAAAAAAAGAACAGGAACTGGAGAGGGGAGGTAAGAGCAAAAATAAAACCCAAAAGATCTGTGCAGGAGTATCTCTTCAACCATGTCAGGGCACTCCCCTACACATGACGGAACTGAAGTAAGACTTCCCTAACCTAAACAGTCCCTGACAGCGCAGGCACCCTTCCTCTCTCCAGTGCCTGGTTCCTACAGATGAGAACAACCTTCTGTGTTCAGTTACTTCCCCAGCTCTCATGGTAGATAACTGAAAGAACTCAGCCCTGCTGATAGTCCCTGTTGAGGGAGAATCCCTATCATTTTGCATGTGCAATTCCTTTTTCTTTTTTTTTCCCTAATTGCATTAAAAGCTACATTAAAATGATGTTTAAAAAGTCATGAAGTCCAAAATTAGACAGTGTCCTTGTGAGTAGGTTATGTGCATCTAAACGTTTTTAACACAGTGTAATTAGCTGCCATAAAGGCACATATTAGATAGATAGATAGACAGACAATAGATAGATACATACAATTATTTGTCATGACCGGTGATATACAATCATAACCACATAACCATCATTTCCTTTCTTTCTGAAAACCAAGTTGCCAATCTTTAAGAAGTCATACAACTTAGCTGGAGCCCCATTTTAAGGGAGGATATAAAAATAACTCCTGGATTTATCACTAATCAAATCCTGCATTTATTTTCTTTCATTCCTTTACTTGCAGGATAAAATGCAAAGTCTAACTTTTCTTTTTAGCACATGACAAGCACTAAGCTTACAAAGATAGGCAAAGGAAAACTTTGAGTGTCATCTTTAGCTGCTCACTTCTTTCCTTTTATCTGACTATTGACTGGTGTGATTTTGGGTGTAACTGGGAATTCTTCAGGTATGCTGTATTATTAAAAGAAGTATAAGCTCAAACCAGTTTTTTCTTTGAATTACTGTAGGAATTTAAGTAATTAATGCAGAATTACAATAAAAGAAATTAATATGCAAAGAAAAGAAAATTTTTCTTCCTATCTCCCTCACCTGAATGAAAAGATAGTCACACCTTCACATATTGTCCATAGAGAGCCTATGTACGTGACCACACGTAGTGAGACATAGACAGGGTGGTCAGAGCAGTTTAATAGAAGACAAGACTCCTAAGTTCTTAGCTGCCATGAATTTACCATGTGCTATAGTTATGATGTGAGGTTTCATTAACGTTTAATACAAAGATAACAATTTTGACTTCTTGCTTTTATAATGTACAAGAATAATTACTTTAAAAATAACTCTGGAATAAAATTCAGAGCGTTCCATTCTGAAAATTTTGAAACATAATGTTCTGATAAATTTAGAACGGAACATTTCAATTTCTCATTGACATGTTCCCACAGAAAGCTTCAATTATAGCAAAACAACACTTTCTGATGGAAAAATATTCTGTCAGAAAGCTACTGACCGGGCCTGTTGCAGATCTGCTGCTGAAGAGCTCTGCAAAACCACCACATTCTCACATTGCTGAAATCATGCCGAAGCGCTCTACTCAGTGCACATCAATGCTGAACAAGCACTTTTGGCCAGCAGATGGCAGATTTTTTGCTACAAGGCTTTTACGATCTCTCCAAATTAGGGTTTTGTGACTGCCAGGAAAGGTTTAGTAGGCTTAATATTCAGCATTTCTTCTGAGTTAGTAACACTGTAGATCAAAACACCACATCTGTGCAATCTGTTTTAAATATTAAGCTCCATCAATAGAGCATAAAAAGCTTGCCAGTTACCTACTATGAACAAGGTACATAAATAATGCTCTAAGCGTAATTTCATGAACATAAAAAAAAATAGCTAGCCCTACACCAAAAAAATGGCATTCTTACTGATATAGATAATCAGAACTAGGAGTCTGGGGTATGAAAATATGTCTGCTTAAACCTCTGTTCGTGATACTGCTGAGATCCAGAGCCATCTGATAGCCATTCTGCAGCTGTTTGGATTTAACGTGCTCTGTCTCTTGCTCATTCCATCTGTGACAATGAGACAAAATATGTGTTTTAACTGATGTATGAAAAATATCTCAGCTTTACTATGGATGGCCTATTGCATTTTTGCTACAATTCAGACACAACATTTTAATCACAGTTGGCAATTCCAATCATCCTCTAATGCTATGTTCACATAGTGTAACTAGCCACGGGAGAAAGGTGTGCAGGCACCTGACAACAGAAAATGGGAAGAATTAATGGTGAACACTGGCATTTGATAAGATGTAAGAACCCATTTCCTTCCGTGTTTTCTCAGCTCTCTCAGCCAGCAAGATAATTGCTCCCAATTTAGGAATATCAGCTCTGAGGATAAAATGGGTCTAAGTGGCTACAGAAGTGGAAATGACTACACTGCACGGCCACTGGCATATAGACAGAGCTGTACCAAATCCAGTGTACAAGTTCCTCAAATATTCCTAAAAAAATTGGGGATAAATGTTTTCAATTCTGTGATGAGCTACTCATACACAACTCCTAATCCTGCTGTGTTTACAAGACTACATTAGTAGAATTCATCTTCCACAGCTTTAATTAAGCTTTAAGTGAACGTCATTTGGTAAAACGCAATTAATAACACAATATTTCTACTATATTCTAAAATAAGAGGAAGGCTAAAGAGTGAAGGTTTTCCTAATTGGGTAGGGCATCTTGTTACAATGAATACTAATATTGCTGCTGTTCCTGAACTGGTTTCAATCTGCTGCTCAGTGAAAACCCAAACATAAGCTCCAAAGGGGTGACTTCTATCAGTATGGAATAACAGGGATTTTAAACCTGACAGCGACTCTTTTCTCTTCTGCCATCAGTACTGATAGTGCTGATGTGTGGGTTGAAGATCAAGGCATGAAACTACTGATTTCACACAGCAATCTACTTACCTTGCTGTTGCAGTTCCAAGTGAGTCACAGAGAATCAGAACTCCCCACAGAATCCAGGTGATGCCAAAGAAGTGTATTTGTTTTGAAACTGAAGAGCCTGAACCCAAAATATCTTTTATAAGAAGTCCCTGTATGAATTCAGTGAATGACTCTCCATCTTCCACTGGATGTACTTGTTACAAGAGCCCTCACAGACATTTTGGCTTGAATGAAGGAATAATTGTGTGAGCAAAAAAACAAGGGAATAGGAACAAACAAAACCAATTACGGCAGGGAATGAATGAGGATGTACCTTTTATCCAGGGAGGACGTATTTTTAACTGAAACTTAGATTACTATAAAAAACTCAAACAGTTGGAGTAGATAAGAATGGAGGACTATTGATTTCAAGGGGGAAACATAATGCTCATCAACAGAACAGTGAGAGCCATAGCATGTTTAAAGAAAGACTTTAACTTACATTCCCAAAACACTATAGTTTAGTACATTGAAAAATCCATCAGACTCATGTAAAGATATTTAAATAAAGGAACATTGTTTTATTTCTTATTCTAACCCTTAAGCACGTCAGCAGAAGTTAATTCCTTGCCATTCAATCCAATAGAAAAAAGATTAATACCATAATATCACAGAG